ATAGTGTACAGGTAGTGGGGGTGGTGATAGTGTACAGGTAGTGGTGGTGGTGTACAGGTAGTGGGGGTGGTGATAGTGTACAGGTAGTGGGGGTGGTGTACAGGTAGTGGGGGTGGTGTACAGGTAGTGGGGGTGGTGGTAGTGTACAGGTAGTGGGGGTGGCGAGACAGAAGTGGTCAATATAAGGATGTTGCTCGTTATTACGGTGGCCAGACTAACTGCTGCTCCCTCCCACCACACACCCACACCCACCCCCAACCGCCCCCCATCCCACCACTCACCCACACCCACCCCACCCTTCCCACACCCCCACCACACCCTAACCCACGGCCCGCCCAACGCCTAATTTACTTCCTTTACCTGTAAACAATATGGATAGTGGTCGTCCTGGGGCCAAGTTTCCTTGGTGGTTGTCTGATTTATGTGGCTGTGTGTTGCCCGTAAAACCACACAGCCACCACAGTCAGACTGATCAGGTCGCGCCAGCAGAAACTTTCCAATTTCTCTCTCTCTTGAAGCTGTCTGTACAGCACGGTGCCTCCACACTCCCTGTAAGTGTGTGTGTAATAGCGGGTGTGTGTTGTTGAAGCATGTCGTGGTGGACGGGTTAGGACACGTGTGGAGGGACCCAGGACCTCCTGCTTAAAAAGTTCTCTCATAGATATATCAAGTTACTGAGATGTTATTATGTATGTCTTGTAGTGTTGTTCTAGAGATGTTTGTTATATCTGCTTGTTGACGAGTTGTGGAGCTCTGATGTTTACACTGTTCTCTCGTGCACGTGGCGCCCCTCACTCTCAGCTGCTGTTATTTGACACTTCCTGCCATGTCTCTCATTGTATTGCTCGACTGTACAACCTAAACATCCAGTATTTTCCATGATTCTATGAGGGGCAGTTAATGCCAGGTTGAAGTAATTATCAATAGAACCCACCAAGCCGGGGAGGCTATGTAGCAGCGTCAAAAGTGCGGGACATTCAAAAGCCGCAAGAGATCACCAAGGATGCCAATACCACAACAAAAGCGCATAAGGCGAATAACATCAAAGGCATCCGACTCACCAAGGATACTATCGAGGGACAGGTGACCGTGAGGGACAGGTGACCGTGAGGGACAGGTGACCGTGAGGGACAGGTGACCGTGAGGGACAGGTGACCGTGAGGGACAGGTGACCGTGAGGGACAGGTGACCGTGAGGGACAGGTGACCGTGAGGGACAGGTGACCGTGAGGGAAAGTTGGGAAGCAAGAGGCATGCACATCCTGCAAGTCAGGACATTCAATAAGGATATGCACCACCGAAAGAGGGACAATGCAAATCGGAAAATAAGGAGCAGAGCGGCGCTCCATTAAGTGCACAGCCAATATTGAATTTTGACGACAACAGGCTGGGCAGGATTAATGGACTCTAGAGCCATGAGGGCACTGCTGCAAGAGACAACTACTACAACAAAGAAAGAATTACAGTGAGAAAGTAGTTACCGAAGAGCAAACAAAATTGCATAAAGTTCAGCTGTGAAGATGCTAGTCTCTGGAGGCAAGCGACACACAGAGGTGCAGTCAGGGAACACAACGGAGTAACCTACACCGTCACCAGATTTAGACCCCATCTGTGAAGACGAAGATGGAGCGGGAGAGTGAAGACAAGTGAGCAAGGAAAAGGCGTATCAGAACTGTAGGAGAGGTAAAAGCTTTAGTCATGCAGGTCAAGGTTCTACAAAACTTAGGAAGAGAGACCCTTCCATGGGGGGCAAGGACTGAATGACATGAGGAGAAACATTGCCAACATGAACCGAAAGAGAACCTTGCAATTAAGACAACAGTACAGAAAGGAAAGGTGGTGAAAGGGAACAGGGCCCACAGGAGGAGTAATGGTCAAAGTATGACATAAGGGAGAGGGAGGGCGTTGAAGGGGGACCACACAGAGTAGCCAAGACAGTAGCGATCCCGGGGATCCTGTGCAGACAGGATGCCGGTCTCAACATACAGGCTCTGGGAAGGGGTCGAAGTAAAGGCACCAGAACTAAGACATAGCCCAGTATGGTGAAGAGCATCAAGACGACGAAGGGTGGAGGAAGAGACAGACGAGTAAGCAGAACAGCCATAATCGAGTTTAGACAGAACGAGAGAGGAATGTAAAGAGAGGAGCGTGCGCCTATCAGCTTCCCAGGAAGTATGGGACAAGACCTTAAGTAAGTTAAGGGCCTTAGAGCATTCAACTCGGAGGTAGGAAATATGGGGTGACCAGGACAAGCGAGTGTCAAAGATGAACCCCACAAGTTTAGCAGAATCCTTGTACAAAAGAGGCTTACCATAAAGCAACAGGGGGGGGGGGTTGAAGGACGAGTATATGCCCCACAATCTCCACCTTAAGAACCGTCAGTCTGTCAAGATTGGGTTCAGCAAGGAAGGCGAGGATTGACTATAAAAGCGTCCCCTCGCTCCCAACGTCGGGTACCACAGTTTTACGGTGGTACCGTAGATTATTCGGGTACCAATAATCAAGAATGGCAAAAGGTCGGCTGGAAAACAAGGAGAAAGGAAAAGGGGGGGGGGGAATGAAACCTAAGGAAGAGGAAATAGCAGCCATCACAACTAGTGAAGACTGCAGCAGGAGCATAAGGCTTCATAATGACGGAGGAGTGTCCCACGGAGCAATATACCCCGGCAGCCGCCCACCAAGCTCCCCTCACCACCACAACGGCCTGGACAGGGAGGGGGGGGGGGGCAGTTAAAGTATTAAACTTAGGCCTACTCTGACCAACATTTATCCGCCCCATACCCCAGACCATTCCCTCTACAAATTTGAGTGAGACTAGCAACTTTGGAGAGAGAAACAGACAGACACAGACACACACACACAGAGCTACGTCTGTCTGTATATGTGAGGAGCAGTAGGGATGCGGGGACCGTCCTCCAGAGGCCCAGCTTCGTGCCATACACGCCCTCGATTTTGTTTCATTTACTGCCACACTTTGTAATTAATCAGTTAGGAAAATTAAAATCCACCTCCATACTACCAACCACTTTGGCTGGACAGTAGAGCGAGGGTCTCGCTTCATGCAGGTCGGCGTTCAATCCCCGACCGTCCGTGAGGTTGGGCACCATTTCTTCCCACCGTCCCATCCCAAATCCTTATCCAGGATCCCTTCCCAGTGCTATATAGTCGTAATGGCATGGCGCTTTCCCTTGATAATTCCCTTCCCCTCCGTACTTTACCTGCAATTTGCTTTGCCTTGATGTAAGGGGCCCTCCCTTTAGTGGGCGTTCCCTTTGCCTTGATGTAAGGGCCCCTCCCTTTAGTGGGCGTTCCCTTTGCCTTGATGTAAGGGGCCCCCTCCCTTTAGTGGGCGTTCCCTTTGCCTTGATGTATGGGTCCCCCTCCCTATAGTGGGCTTTCCCTTTGCCTTGATGTAAGGGGCCCCCTCCCTTTAGTGGGCGTTCCCTTTGCCTTGATGTATGGGGCCCCTCCCTATAGTGGGCTTTCCCTTTGCCTTGATGTATGGGGCCCCTCCCTTTAGTGGGCGTTCCCTTTGCCTTGATGTATGGGGCCCCTCCCTATAGTGGGCTTTCCCTTTGCCTTGATGTATGGGGCCCCTCCCTTTAGTGGGCGTTCCCTTTGCCTTGATGTATGGGTCCCTCCCTTTAGTGGGCGTTCCCTTTGCCTTGATGTATGGGGCCCCTCCCTTTAGTGGACTTTCCCTTTGCCTTGATGTATGGGGCCCCTCCCTTTAGTGGGCTTTCCCTTTGCCTTCATGTAACACTAAGCCTAACAATCAAATGTTTCTGCAAAGTCTGTATAAATATCGTCTGCATTTTGGCTTGTCTGTAATGATCACGCTTCACTGCCGTTTCTCCTGGGATTTACAGTTTGTTATTCTCCGTAAAATATTCTACTGTCTTATAAGTGCCCTTCTGAGACCCTTGAGGAAGTGTGGTGTTAGTGCTACAGGTGTGATGTTCCAGCCCATCCTCCTGTTCTGGCAGTACTGACAGTAACCATCACCACCTTCTGAGACCCTTGAGGAAGTGTGGTGTTAGTGCTACAGGTGTGATGTTCCAGTCCATCCTCCTGTTCTGGCAGTACTGACAGTAACCATCACCACCTTCTGAGACCCTTGAGGAAGTGTGGTGTTAGTGCTACAGGTGTGATGTTCCAGCCCATCCTCCTGTTCTGGCAGTACTGACAGTAACCATCACCACCATAGTATATATACCCAACTACAACGGAAAGTAGAAATCTGAACTATTGGGCTCCGGTTATCTTGAGGTTATCTTGAGATGATTTCGGGGCTTTAGTGTCCCCGCGGCCCGGTCCTCGACCAGGCCTCCACCTCCAGGAAGCAGCCCGTGACAGCTGACTAACACCCAGGTACCTATTTTACTGCTAGGTAACAGGGGCATAGGATGAAAGAAACTCTGCCCATTGTTTCTCGCCGGCGCCTGAGATCGAACCCAGAACCACAGGATCACAAATCCAGCGTGCTGTCCGCTCGGCCGACCGGCTCCCTTGGGCCCCCCCCTCTTCCGGCTGAACAAACCGGAAAACTATCTTTCACTTGTGTTGCTTTGACAAATTAAGCTAACCTAACCTTTCTAGGCCTAATACACGATATCTGAGCCTAATATAGTACACATGTGTACTATACTATGCTATACTAGGCCTAGGAATATTTAAGTGTTTTTTAGCTTCATTGAATAAAATAATTACTAGTTAGTATACTACTAACTAAAAGCCAAGTACACACGAATTGGTGACTATTGATTGACCACCGTCACCCACCCCTGCTACATCCTCCAACACGTCATCCACCCTCACCCACCCCTGCTACATCCTCCAACACGTCATCCACCCTCACCCACCCCTGCTACATCCTCCAACACGTCATCCACCCTCACCCACCCCTGCTACATCCTCCAACACGTCATCCACCCTCACCCACCCCTGCTACATCCTCCAACACGTCATCCACCTTCACCCACCCCTGCTACATCCTCCAACATGTCATCCACCCTCACCCACCCCTGCTACATCCTCCAACACGTCATCCACCCTCACCCACCCCTGCTACATCCTCCAACACGTCATCCACCTTCACCCACCCCTGCTACATCCTCCAACATGTCATCCACCCTCACCCACCCCTGCTACATCCTCCAACACGTCATCCACCTTCACCCACCCCTGCTACATCCTCCAACACGTCATCCACCCTCACCCACCCCTGCTACATCCTCCAACACGTCATCCACCGTCACCCACCCCTGCTACATCCTCCAACACGTCATCCACCCTCACCCACCCCTGCTACATCCTCCAACACGTCATCCACCCTCACCCACCCCTGCTACATCCTCCAACACGTCATCCACCCTCACCCACCCCTGCTACATCCTCCAACATGTCATCCACCCTCACCCACCCCTGCTACATCCTCCAACACGTCCAAGATAATCTTGTAGTTCAGTATTTACTTTCCCGTTATTGCGGCCAGAAGGAACTTCCCCGTGTCCACTGGGGGTGTGTGGGGAGGAGGAGAGGAGAGGTTGTGAGAGAAGGGACGGAAGGAGAGGTAAGAGAGGGAGCAATGAGAGGGAAGAAGGGGACGGAGCATGGGAGGGAAGGCAAGGTAGAAGGAAAAGGAGGAAAGTGGAGATTCACGAGGGAAAGACAGGCGAGAGTAGGGAGAATAGAAAGTAAAAAATGGATGAAGGAGAAGTATAAAGGAGAAGGGAATGAGGAATAGAAGTGCGGAGAGAGAGAGAGGGGGAAATTGAGAAGGGAGACTATGATAGTTTGAGACGGGGAACACGGGAGGGGACGAGGCTCGACCCCTTCTAAGTGGCCAGAAGTGCAGGCCATTCCTCTACAAATTGGCAGGACGTAATGGCCACAATATGGCCGAGGGGAGACAGCGAAATATTAGGCATCAAATGTGGCCACACTGTGACCTGCACCACCACCACCACCACCTGCAGCACCACCACCACCACCACCTGCAGCCACACTGTGACCTGCAGCCCCAGAGTGTGTTTAGTATATACCCTTAATGTTGGTATCATTTAGTCGACCTGTGGAGACGAGAGGAGTAAGTCTTCACTAGTCTGTAGACTCTGGTTGAGGTAACACGTTGTGGTGCCTCTGTTGAGCTGTTGTAGTTTAGGGATATTTATATATCTACTAGCTGTACCCCACCACGCGTTGCTGTGGCTCAGCAACGCGTGTGCGTTGCTGAGCATGAGCATCCCTGCCCCCGTCTCCCAGTCATCCCCATGCTTCCCCCTCTTTAGTTCCCTCGTCCTCCCAACCATTCCCAACTCCCCCATCCCCTCGTCTTCCCCAGCATCCCCTTCTTCCCTGTCCCCTCGTCCTCCCCTATTATTACCCCCTCCCCTATTATTACCCCCTCCCCTGTCTCCTCGTCCTTCCCACCATCCCCCACTCCCTCGTCCAATGCATTCCCAAGTGATCTGATGTTCCCATCAAAGAAATTGGAAACATCAAATGATCTGATGTTCCCATCACTGAAATATAAGAAAAATAATTAAAAAACGAAATGAAAAATAATGCAAAAATACAAAATAAACTATATTCACGAAATGAACGGTATGGTAAACAACAAAGCTCAATTCCAATGCAATGTCACACAAAATAATTCAATCAAAATTTAAATAAATCGAAACCTATGAAAATTTAATTTGTCAATGCAATCAAAAACATTGAAATGGAATTGTAACATATTTAGTATGGTGCGTGTGGCTCTTACGTGCAACAGATGGCGCTGTTGCTTAAAAAAGAAAATGTTTTTACCTGTCACAGGTGTGGAATCTATACTTATACTTACGAAATGAGCGGTATGGTAAACAACACAGCTCAATTCCAACACAATGTTACACAAAATAATTCAATAAAAATAAAAATAAATTCAAGTCTATGCAAATTAAATTTATCAATTCAATCGGAAACATTGACATGGAATTTGCAACATATTTACTATAGTGGATGTGTTGCTATTACATGCAACAGATGGCGCTGTTTTTGAAAAAAACATGTTTTTACCTGTATTAGGTGTGGCATCTATATAATAGGTATATAAAAACACGCGCATATTTGAATGGAACGTTGTGTCAGAATTTCAAAGCAATGTGTGGCTCCTGTTAGGAGGTGAGGTCGTCGATGATGACCTCTGGTGAGTGAAGTAACTACATCAACGCCATCTAGAGTGTGCACCAGATTATATTTACACTTCTCCGGTGAACGGCTGCCATGCTATGTTCTCCCTGTATAACAGGGCGTGTACAGTCCGGTAGTTCTCCCTGTATAACAGGGCGTGTACAGTCCGGTAGTTCTCCCTGTATAACAGGGCGTGTACAGTCCGGTAGTTCTCCCTGTATAACAGGGCGTGTACAGTCCGGTAGTTCTCCCTGTATAACAGGGCGTGTACAGTCCGGTAGTTCTCCCTGTATAACAGGGCGTGTACAGTCCGGTAGTTCTCCCTGTATAACAGGGCATGTACAGTCCGGTAGTTCTCCCTGTATAACAGGGCGTGTACAGTCCGGTAGTTCTCCCTGTATAACAGGGCGTGTACAGTCCGGTAGTTCTCCCTGTATAACAGGGCGTGTACAGTCCGGTAGTTCTCCCTGTATAACAGGGCGTGTACAGTCCGGTAGTTCTCCCTGTATAACAGGGCGTGTACAGTCCGGTAGTTCTCCCTGTATAACAGGGCGTGTACAGTCCGGTAGTTCTCCCTGTATACTTTCTGTCTGGCTAATGACTTATGTCCCCAGACTTGAAGTGGAGTCTATTGCAATGTGGAAGGCAGTTCACCTCGGGCAGTCCTCAACTCCTGACTAGTTGCTGTGAGAGGACAAGTAGGTGTCGTCGGTAGTAGACAGTGTGCTAGCTGTTGTTGTTGTTGTTGTGCAGTGATAATGTGTGGACCGTTGTACCCGGGATTGGGGGCAAGAGCAGTTACAAGACCACAGTATTGGCCGTCTGCTGAGAAGTGCTGCTAGCGAGTAGACCTCTGCCAGGGTGTCAGTGGTGACCCCTGAACCTATTATTTGTGACCCTTGTCAGCGTGTTGCTGAAGCCCTTTGCCAGTGTCTCCCTGGAGAGCAGACGTGGGGTACCGAGACATCGTGACGATATGGTGTGTGGACTGGCTCATGTTGAGGAAAGGTTAGCTCGTCGGTGATTACTATTGAGCCTGGACGACGTGTACTTGAAGATAGTGGACTCGTTGGGTTTTGAAGAACACTGCAGACATATTGAGCGTCCTGGGTGAAAGCGACGCTGTGTACATAGGTATAGTTATACTTCCATAGATAATATATTGGTTGTGTTGTAACTGTCGTGTTTACCCTCTTATATTCCTTGCTCCCCGCCAGTTCTTGAGAACATACCATTGACTCTGGGTGGGATCACAGGAGGCGGCGGCTATAAGGCACAAAACAGAAAGAAGCCGGTTACTGGCTCAGGATGGCCGTAACAGCCCCACATGAAAGCTTGAACATTGCCTATACTGCACACGTTCTTCGTTATAAGACAACATATCAACAACATGGTACTCCATAAAATTGATGCATTCATTAACCAAGAGTGCGTGAGCTGGTTCTGGATAAACTGGAGGTAGTCACTTGTTTTACCCATCAGACCTGGAACCAGTCCAAGTACTCCAACAGTTACCCTAATCCTAATGCTTTCCTAAGAAGCAGTAGAGGTGGAAAGTGTAAGTACCTGTAAAAGATGTTTCCATACCTACAATGAAGAGTTAACTACCAAGTCGTGATTTGCAACCTAGATAAGAAATCACGCCCAATAATTCCATTGTACACCACCACCACCAGTTGAGACGACAACCTGGACCTTACACACATACGGGAGAGCTTCAGCCTCGTGAGGCAGGGGTGGGGGGGGGATGTGAGGCAGGGTGAGGAGTGTGAGGGTGCATGAAGGTGGGGTGTTGGGCGTGAGAGCGGGGAGGGGTGTAGAGGCGTGTCCCTCCAGCTGTAAGGAGGACGTGATGAGGTAACCATGGTGGGGATGATGTGGCGGCGGCGGCTCCCCACCTGCCTCCTGGTCACTATACACCCGCAGCCGCCGCCACCACCGACGACTATAGAGATTTTGTGTATGTATCCGTGACGACCACAATAAAGTTGCTGCTGCAGCCATTGTGACCTTCCAGCTGAAACCGTTCTGGCATTTATTTCTCGAAGCATTAGTAACATAACATCTGGTGGTGTTCTTCAGCTATATCTTCCTCTTGTCAGGCCCCATTGATGCACTTCAGTTTTGGTCGCCGTACGATAGAATGGATACAAGTTCACTAGAACGTGTCCAGCGAAGGATGACAAAGTTAATCCCACAAATTACAAACCTTCCATATGAAGACATTGACAAAGCTTAATTTACTTTTTCAACAAAGGCGACGAGAATTAGGGGTGACATGATTGAGGTTTACAAGTGGATGAACGGACAGAAGTAAGGGGATATTAATAGAGTATTAAAAGTATCAACACATAAATGAAAATTAAATAATGGGTGTAAATTAGATAAATTTAGAGTTAGGAAAGACCTGGGTAAATACTGGTTCGGTACCAGGGTTGTGATTTATGGAACCAATACCCGCGTATTATAATAGACGTAGGATCCCTTGATTGCTTCAAGCGTAGGTTAAACATATATTAGTTTGAGTTGATATAAATAGGAGCTGCCTCATATGGGGCCCATATGAGGCCCATATGGGGCCCATATGAGGCCCATATGGGGCCCATATGAGGCCCATATGGGGCCATATGAGGGCCTTCTGCAGGAAACCGCAGAAGGCCAATAGGTCTTCTGCAGTTCCTTAACCGTTATGTTCTAATGTTATGTCTTGACTTGCCACCAGGTGACAGATCCAACCTGTCAATGTAACCAGAAATATAGGAACCCAAGCAACCCACCTAACCTATCACACCAATACATAGACAACCAATATATCCGAGCCGTGACTTTTGGTAGTATGTTGTATTATAAGGTTGGTTACCATTATGTACACGAGGCGACCACTGAGTGGAGAGGAGGGTTCGACTCCCAGCGTGCACAGCGTCACCTGGTCCTACCAGGCCTACCTGCACGGTCACCACCACTCGGGGGGGGGGGGTCACAAGTATCAATAACTTACTTTATCATGCACCCCATACCCATGCGGTGGGCGGCGTGACACACGAGGCGCCGCTACTTGCCGCCTCTCGCTCCAAAACAACTTTACGGAGTTTTAAAGCAGCAATCCAGGCCATGAAAGTCATCATACAACGCCCAGACCACAACAGTTGATATTCCCTTTATATATACACGTTGATACCTTAGTAGATAACGGGTCTTGATACTTTGTCAAACAACTTGCTGTAGTTGGTGAAAATGTGCTGTAGTTGGCGAGAATATAAGGTTAGTGTGAGGTGGAGGAG